CGCCGCAACAATCGCAGGGCTGTTTGCACGTACGATTTTATAGTTGCGTGATAGCAAAGTGGCGACAATCGCGCTGAAAAAATCGCAAGTGTAAACGGTCCTTAATGGTGGATCCAGCTAGATGAGTTTGATTAGGTTGGCTAGACACCTTTCCCTTTTTAGGGTAAAATAAACGAGAAATGGAAATTATGACATGAATGAAATAAGGAAGTAATAGTTCTAATGGGAATCATTTTGTAAAAGACAATCTTAAAAAATATATATTATCCGTAGCCCTAATTCTGTCCATTTGTCGTGATTTAGACAACCTCCTTTGTAATATTCTTGATTCGTAACTGCGACTTATTTATAAGAAGTAATTTGCCATGTCTTGAAGTAATTTTGTTTAAAAATTTTAAAATATCCCAAATACCACTACAAAACATGCTATTATCTATACAAATGCCAAAGAAACTGTTGTATTTTATCAAAACGTTCATGGTTAATTTCCATGCAAATAATGTTTTGTTTTCGCACCGTGAGGGAAGAAAAACACTCTTTTACAAATAATGATACACTAGTACTTAATTTTTGGCAAATTTCCGACATTCATTTCATGTAATGTTTTCCTGTTAAAGTGGTCCTTTTATAGCCAAGGTTTGTGACGCTGTATTGTTGACTGATATGTATAAACAAAGTCTTGACTAAAAACAATGTTGGCAATACAAAATCTCGAAGCTGAAGTCGAAGGGAAAAGGGTAACAATTAATTGAAAAGAAGTTGTGGATAAGAGGGCCCTTTTAAATGCTGAAAAAACCCTTTTAGCGATGTCTTTTACTGCACTGTGTTGGCCTAAAACCACACAATTTAGCATCATGTCCAGTGTAAACAGCCCTGAAAATGTAAGAGATCTGTGAGTATGGAAGACAATGAAAACAGTTTGAAATCTCACGATTTTTATCTGAATTTCGGCATACTTTATACAAAATTAAGGCCGGTAGTTTGTAAAAGAGATTTGGAAAGGGTTCTATTTGGCACGTTTTCCTACAACAACCGCATGSATAGTTTTCAGTCACGCACAAAACATGACAGTTATCAATGAAGAAGGCAGATATTGACCYAAATACGCTTTCTCCCTCTCTTCAGAGGAAATACGTAGGAATTCCCTGCGAACAGAGCTTTCAAAGTCAATATTCTSGTAGGATTTGCTAGCAGGAAACGTCCTCTTTTATAGGCGTACATAATTTATCGAAAGAATCGAGCGCGAAGGTTAAGAAAGTCAGAAAATTTCGAGCAAAATGGGAGAAAGTGACTGATTGCTTTGTGGGAAGGTTTGAGGAGTGCGTGATAAAAGCGAAACGGCAGTTGACTTTTAAGATTTAAAAATCTTTAAATTTTCAATAGTAATGATAAGGAAAAGGCAATTTAATATTATGTTTCGCAGTAAAGGAGGAATATTAATTAGCCTAAAAGGTGCTATTGATCTATAAAATAATCATTCAGCAAGAGGTCGACCTAGAAATTTTATTTATCGACCAGAAATAACTAAAATCAATATTACGRGCTATWTTACGTCTGGCCTGAATAAACTGAWGAAATCACAAYCTCTCTTTACTAAGCGGATACTCGCTTACGGACACGTAARGTCGCGCTTRCTTCCGAGAATCTTGGCGCTTGTTTATTTWAWWRAAAAAACTGACTGTTTTTTTAAAGTTGGTTTCTGATTGGTTCAAAATCGACGTGGCGTTTTTATGTGAGAACTTCGCGCAAAGGTTCATGGGTGGACATGGTCCTTTAATTATGCATAGTCCGAAAAAGTGCGCGTTATAATGTGAGTTGCCTTGGATTGGGTCCACACGTAGAGGGGCTATACACGAATTCATAATCAATGCAAACAAAACTTCACGCACGTCTTGTCAACGTTATTCTGGCAAACATCTATCTGAAYTAAACAATAGCTTGGACAAGGATTCGGCATTTTKGTGGTCAAACATATAGAACCGGTGCCCACCTGAATGGACTTATGTCGTTTTGATACATAGAGGATATTGCATGGGTGCGCCGAGATACGAATTTTATCAAYACGAGAAGATAAAACTCGTATCTCCGCGTGCCCATATAATTTTATATGAGCGCGCAAATTATGTCGTWAAATACCTTTTTTCTACCTCCAATATATTATATATAGAGATATCAGGAATGTCTTCTCACTAGTGAAAACTAACYTAACGTAATGGAGAAATATAGGTATTTTAAAGATAATTACTATGATATAGAGGATTTACTGTWGTGGAATGGCTTTCTCCATTTTGCGAAAAGTCATTCATCCTTATTTTAGATTTCAAGAGCTTTTGAATTCGCTGTTATTTCTCTATGACAAGTTTTTGGTATTTGACGACAATATTTAATGTTTTTATTGATTATAAGAGTTTATTAGTTGTTTTCTTTGTCTTGAGTCATTTCCAAGTCCAACAGTCGTTATGCCATCACAAGAGTTAATAGTATCGAACAAGAATATTGCTTTTTCCATGCCAGCTCTTTTCATTTGAGTTTATAAGTTTTAATACCATACGCTATYACAAGTTTTAAGTATCTAGCGGTAGTGTAATTCTTTACAGCTCTTTGTGTCCTGATCTGAATCAAATTATTTATTTTTAAAATTCTTCAAAGGGTATCTTGTTTTCAATATCATTACGAGWACTTCAGAACAGACTATCTGTCGCCAAAACAAAGGGGTGCCGGTCCCTCAATAGACCTCAGTCCCGGAGGGCTTTYTTTWAAAMAWGTCGTTTCCCTAGTAAGATTCACKAAGAATCGTTTTGAAAAAGAATTGTTTTGTAATTAATAAACCATTAGAAGTATGATATTTTTCTCATCATTTTTCTTTTCATAACTAATTTCTGATTAATAAATCTACCGTTTTGACTGTTAAACAATCTTGATAATAGCCTCTTGAACAGCCTGGAAATACCCTATAATTTAACCTTGGGAAAATGTTTRATAGTTCCCACGCTCTTCCCCGATTCTCTATCGGAGAACCTTGCTCAAATAGACCCTTTGACAAAATGACAAAATTCCACGGAAATAATCAATCCCAAAATAGATAGAAATTTATACCTCATTAAGAAAATAGGTAGTGCAAACTTGGACTAGAAGCTCTACAAATCTGTAGAAGATTCGATCGAAAATCTCCAGAGTTTTTCAAATTTCTGAACCTCGTACATGTATTTAAATCTGTGAAAATTCATCGTTCTAGGATGTTTCATAGGAACTTTTACACAGTATTTCATCCAGAAAAAGGCCTTGTCGTAATATCACATATTATTAGTTATCCATGCATTTAGAACAAACCTCTTATTTTTTTATTAATTTTTTATTCGTTTTTAGCTTGAAAATTAGTTATAAAATTAATTAAAAAATGCWAAYAAGTGGCGRCCAATTTGRCAAAAAGTCTTGTCTAGAATGCATAGAGATCTACGAGTTTTTATGAGCATGGCGCTGAAATTTCTGTCATTACATCCAGACAGCGTTATTTATGTTTTTTCTGCTTGCAAGGCTCCGTCATTAATTGTTACAAAATCCTCCCTTTKTCTGGCAGTCTTGTCTGATCGTCTAACTACCGCAGTTTTACGACTCAACTAATGTGAACTCACGCTTCGCACGGAAACCGACTCCGCAACACAACACTATATCTAAATAGGTTGATTACAAAAGTATCATGTCGTCTAGAATTCTTGTGAAACGTGGCATTCTTAAGGCAACCCACGCATTATTTGAGCTTTGTTTTTCTTTTAAAATCCRAAGTGCRTGAAAGAGTTTTTTTTCGTTGTCTATTCATAAAATGTTATTTTGAAAAGRGTTTTTCATSTTTTGAGAGTGAGAACATCAAGCCCGTGAAACAAAATCTAATACACCTTTTCACGGTTAAAACCAAAGCAGGRAACATATTTTCTGTAGCTCTCAAATGAAGAAGAGTGCCAARTAATATCAAAATTATGACATTTTTCGCCAAATTATTTTCCTGTCAATACAAAGGGATAAACAAGCTCAAAATGACACCTTTTTGGTCAGTGCCCGATGTGGTCGCTTTGGTACAAATCTGAAGGCACCTCGAGCAGATATGTAAAAAAGCCCTCAGGCAACCAGAGGGTGCATTATCGGTATAGTGCAATATCAATTCATGGTTTGTTTGTTTCCAAATTACTTCAAGATAGGCMCTTTCCCAAGATGTTGGYTATGCATAAAAGGTTTCTATCATTGCGGCGAGGAAGCATAAGGGGGGTTCGAGCATTTTTGAAATCTTAACTCTCGGAAATGCATGTCATTTCCAGCGTTTTGAGGCGTTATCCAAGACATATTTACCGCACACGCGGTCAGCAATATTGTCAATAGAATCCCAAAGACTTCATAAGAAGGCTCTTCTCTTCTTTATTTAAGAAAATTCATAATGTCGGAAACATTACTGGGGGGCTGTAGCACCCCAGCTAAGTTGTGGATCAGTTTCTGTTTTGTTTCAAACATATCYTACAGTGCATCGCGTATACAGTATATGACGTAAAAGCTTCATAGATCTATTGTACAACACATGATGAAATACTGCCAGATACAAAAGAACGAGAAACCAMCACGTAAATATAAACAAGCTAGTACTGATCAACCAGCGSGGTTAGAAAAAGTTACAGGATTGATAACAAGAAAACAAATTATGTACAAAACAATCACACTAGATCACCGCCAATCAAGGTTAAACCAAATTTTCTAAATTCAAGTAGAAAACGTAACAAACTACACTGTGCGAAGCCTAGCCTTGATCAACCTCTGTTATATATACTATGATACACGTACCCCTATATCCTAACTAGCCATCAACCTTTGTGTCTAATTCTTTTGTGTCTATTGAATGTTAAAACTTTTAAGATTTTGATTCATGGATTTAATGCCCTCTTTTGGCTACATTAAAAGATTATAGTATTAATGCTGTTATTCTTTTATGCAATATTAAAATATATATGTGCATACAGGTATCAAGAGCTGCCAGTTTCTAACACCATAAATACTTTGTCAAGAGAATGATCTGATCCTCAAGACATGCGAGCCAAAATCGGCTATAAAAACTACGGTCAACTATACGACCGCTGCAGCTAAAAAGACTAATTTAGAACGAGGATGTCACGCCATGCATTATATATCGTAATGTTTATAAAGAGAAGTCTTTTAAACACGAGACAAAGACATCGAAACACCAGCCAACAACAGGTGGAGACAAAACAGGTGGGAAAGTCTTTTAAAGCCACTCCTACGTAACCAAAAAAACTGTATGCCACGTGTCTACAAATAAAGGATCAAACGKTCTAGAATGCATCGAAAATCCACGAGAYGGATCAAACCTTCGAATTCATAATTTTCGTTGTTAAAGGACTGTTAAAAAGAATAATCACATYCTCAAATAGAAGATATGGCCTTTGAACTCTCGTAACTGTATAAAAGATGATCAGTATTCTGAAATATTTTCTTGCTCTTAGGAAATGACATTAGGCTCGCAATTTCGTTATCGAACAAATGATCACTGATAGTTTTCTAAATCTACTACTCCAAGTCAATATAAAAATTGGATATTAGTCGGAAAAATCTCCACTAGAGCTTTTAAAAAAATGTACAAAAAGAAAATGCACCCCTCCCCCTCAAAAGTCTAATGGATCGCCCCTTAAGGCCACGAGTGTCAAGGTGAGACCATCATCACTCTTTAGAATATTTGATCAAAAGAACGACAAAAGTGCCGGCGACTTTGTGTGGGATTCTAAAAATAAGTAAATAATGACCACGTGGTGTTTAGAACAGGTACCAGAGGTTACCAAACGGCACAGCTTTGTACGACTGTTCCGTAAGGCCACTTGCATCTATATATTGCAATCGTTTGTTTTGTTTTTGAAAAAGAGTTGCAAAAAGAAGAGTTGCAAAAAGGTGATATATATAAATAATTTTTTTCCATGTCTTCTAAGGAAAGTTTAAAAATCCTTAAATAAGGTTTAGTGACGAAAAGAAATTCAAGCTGAAATTAAAATGAGAAATTAAAAAAAAAAAAAGAAAAATTTAAATTTTTTTAAAGAAATATAAGCTATGAATGTAAAGTTTCTATACCAAAAAATGAAGCTTAAGTCCGTTAAGTCAGTAAATCCGTTCTTATCTCGATAAAAGATTCATTAGATGTTAACTTTTAAATAGTATGTTTTTGATAGCTTATTTGGACTCCCTGTGCTTTTTATACCTTGAACTTGGGGACTGGTAGTCCAGTCCCAGACCCTTTTTTGACCCCGCTAACGGAGCGGGTCAAAAGAGGGTCTGGGACTGGACTAGGGGCCTGGATGAACGATGATGTAGGATGCTTGGTCTCCCGAAATTCAGGAGCTTGCTCGCTCATCATAACCAATCTGATACGAGGAAGCAAAAACTCGGGAGTAAAAGTTTGTTGCGCAACATTTCAGTTCCCTTGAAATCGTTGCTGCATACGAGGAGGTCGATCTTTGCWTCGTAGCATGTTGCCGTAGTGCGTTGCGGGAGCAAGGTCCCCGGAGTGTAGTGGCCTTTTTTCAATGGGATAAACACGCCACAACAACGTATACTGCATTGCCACCTAACGGGTTACKTGTCAGCAGTCGGGGGATAAGTTCTTAACGATAAATTTATCTTATTTATTTCCACCTTTCTACATAGTTTTTTTATATCTAACAATTTGTTGATATTGAATTTTACATTTAAAGTTATGTACGTCTTACGACCAACAGTGAATCCCTCACCAAGACGACATGATAAATTCAATCCGTCATTAA